AGGCAATCAGGCCTCAACTGGCAGACTGCTCGTTGTCGAAGACACAGCAAAACTGCAGGTATTCTTGTTAACCAATGTGAAAAAAAAACTCTTGACAAGTAGTGTAGACTGTAGATGTATATACCAGCACGAGTCTATGGTCCAGACATACAATGACCAGGGACTAGGGTGAACAGTAGTACTATAGTACTAATAGTGGGATGAAGCCTATGCCTAGGGCAAGAACTCGGAGTAGGACTAGAATTAAGACTAGGACTAGGAGTAGGACCCTAAAAATAAACAATACTAGTCTGAGTTCACTTCAATTGATTGCATAATGATCATGCTGACTGACAAAGATAATACTAACCTCTTTTGTAGCTGAGGGTTATTTTAACAATTCCGATGTTGTGGATTGTCTGTGTCAGTTATTTCCACAATGGTACTTGTTGGATAGACAAGACAGGAGCTCTGAAGTTATAAAAAGAAACTTACAAGTCTGAAAATGTTAACCTCAAAAAAAAACTTACTTTGGCTTTATATCCTGCAGAGCAGAAAATATGATTTCATTCAAAATACAAACATCCAATATTGGTCCAATACGTAATGAATCATATAATGTTGAAATTCTCCAAATCCATACAGAGATGATCGAATAATTCGATGGAGATATTTCAATCGGCCATACACTCCCACAAGTACCAAGGAAGAATCAAAAGTGAAAAATTGAAATGTCAGTCAGATATCAAAAATATGAAATGTCACTGCTGTCAATTGCATCGATTTATAGTGATTTATACGCGAAACTGATTCCTTAGATCATACAGGAATCTGAGAATAGTTCTGTGACATATTAAACTTAAATGAACGACAGTATTTTCGTGATGACTGATGGCTGGCGCTGAATAATTTATAAGGATGGTGCGAGCAGATTCCAAGTGTAAAATCATCCATGAAACTTTTTATCGTGAGTTCGGATCCTACACTCAGTTAAAGTTTATAACAACCACTAAGGCATTTACTCAGATCTCGAACTAAACTGATATTCATCCGGAATAAATACTCGACAAACAAAATCTGATCAGTGCTTACACCATCCGGATAAACATTTGATAAACAACTATTCGTGTTGCTGCTGAGGAAAAAGTTACGGTTTCACAACTGCTTGCAGACATTCGTGTTCTCAAGACGAACTATCGCTGACGTATTATGGATCCATCTCGGGTCAGAAAGAAAGTATCTGTACTAAGAAAATATCTCACATGTTATCTGTCAACTCTGTCATTGAATATTGACTTATAATTGTCAGAAATCGATTGTCAATTGATTTAATCATTGAAATAAAAATAAAGTAAACAATGATGGATCATTATATTCAAATGATATCTTACTGAGCACATAATATAATGTATGCGAAATTGTTTGAAATAAAGGTGAGTACAGTGAGGCGAAATACTGAAAGATAATTCATAATACAGCATAACATGAAGTTATCATATAGCACAGTGAACATGATACCGAGTGTGACATCGATCTGATACTTAAGAACACGAAATTCAATGATTCCAGAATAATAATAACGGAGAATTCGTAGTGCAAAATAAAACCGTAACACTCCATAGTAACTGGAGGAATTAGGGAAACAAAAAAATATAACGGTGAAGCACTATGTACAACTAAGCAGTGATTGGCACAAACATAGCATAGCCAGGCGAGCATCGACTACTGGGGCGAGGGCTCACGTAGAAATTAGAGGGTTGATACCAATAAAGCGTAAATAGCAAATACTTATTATGTCCAGTTAGGGAATACGCAACGCATGAGCTCAGGCGCAGGTATAGACAAGTTGGGAATACTAACTAATTTTCCACGTTCAGTCTCTATAATTTCTACTCACATAACCCAAGCAGTATGATCTAAACCCAAATATATTTTTATAAACATCTAAAAGGTCAAGTCGATGAAACAGTAGTGAGCACCGCAATAATTATGATAGCAACGATAGTAAGCAAAAAAAAATCAAATGCTGTATGCCTAACAGTCAATTCAGCGAGGAGATACACAATAACAGCAAGCATAGGAAAAATAACAATTCATATACATCAACAAATATAGCAAAAAAAAATAGCAGTAATATCATGCGCAGCAAAGTATCAAGGTCAATATATTATATGATGCAAATTTAGCAAAAAAAAATATATCAGCTAGGTATTCGTAGCAACTTGCCAATCTCTGTATAACTATGAAGTAATTCAGTATAAAATTGAGCACACAAGCAAGCACAGCCAATATAGATATCAAACTCTACAATATGAAGCAAATTTGGCATGACAGTAAGCAAGCATAGCAAACGTAGCAAATTCTTCAGCTATGAAGTAAGTGTAGCATAAGAGTAAGCATATGATGCAAGCATAGCAAATGTAGCAAGTTCTATAAATATGTAGTAAGTTCAGCTTGATAGTGAACAATCATGGCAAGCATAGCAAATGTAGCAAATCTTATATATGAAGCAAGCAAAAAGCAAAAAAAATAAGCAATCAGCAAATCATAGCAAACTCAGCATAAAAACAAACAGAAGTCAAAAACTTGCGTGTCCTCTAGTGGCTTGTTAAAGTTTAGACACCCTGTATCACACAGGTGGTAGGTCGCAGCGTTACGGCAACCTCCTTCTAGTACTGCTTTGCCTGACCAAACGAATCTGATCCTGCTATAGTATCATGCACCATGCCCAGTGTATAGTTGACTTCGAGCAACCCAAAGTTGGTATCCTCAAAAAAAAACCCTAGGGAGAAATAATAAATATAAGTACCATCTCTCCTGAGAAAAATGGAATCATACTCCCTACTGTCCAACATTTTTTTGGAATATTGGAGATTTTCCAAAATATTGAAGCTATTTGATATACAAAGCCAAAAGTACCAGAATATTCTCCAAAAATAATATGTACCCTCTACTAATGTAGTATGGCAAGTATTTGTATAAAAATTCACCTAATGAAATGTTATTTTCTAGCAAACAAACTGGGAATTTCTTAGTAGTATTTACACCTACAAAAGTCATGTAGACATGAATATTTTTCAATGAATAACCCTCAACTTCTTATTCACAAAGTAGTTTGCAAATTATGAACTATCTAATAATTTAAATGCCAACAAAAAAAATGATTAAGTTACCATCTAAGTAGAATAACTGCTGGCTGGATTTTTTTTTTTTTTTTTTTTTTATCGCTTGGAGCGCACGAGAGGGAATCCCTATAATGTTCAAAGAACATCGTGCGTTCCTAGGGAGGATAGGGACAGGAGGTAGGTATTGGAATTTTTTTTGAACTTTTGGAGATTATATGTTGTTGGGAACACTTCCACAGGCAATGAATTCCAGAGCCTAGCCGTTCTATGGATGAAGGAGTCTTGATAAAGTGCTGTTCGACATCTTTCGAGGTTGACAACGAAAGGATGTGCTGACTGGGCTTGTCTAGTTCGTCTGATTGGTATTGCCAGTGAAGGGACGATAGCTGAGATTTCCGAAGAACATTTCCCGTGGAAGTATCGATAGAAAAGTGAAAGGTCGCCGACCTTTCTACGGTGTTCTAATGATGCCAAAGAGTGAGTGAGTGTGGCGTCACCCACCAGGCGAATGGCTCTTCTCTGGATGGAATCTAAGAGCATCAGCGTATGTTTTGGTGCTGAACCCCATATGTGGGAACAGTATTCTAGAACAGGCCGTATCTGCGCTTTGTAGATCATAAGAAGCTGTTGAGGTGTAAAGTAGTTTTTCGCACGGAACAAGAATCCGAGTTTTTGGGAAGCAGCTTTTGCGATGGATCTGACATGATTATCCCATGAAAGAGTGTTGCTGATGGAAATACCGAGCATAGATATGGTGGGCTTGGTGGGGATGGTGGAGCCAGACATTACAATATCGGGCATACTGAGTTCCGCCTTTCTAGAGAAAATGCAGGCTTGAGTTTTGGTGGCGTTGAATTCAACTAGGTTGTTTGTTCCCCAGGCTGTGATTTCAGCAAGATCTTCATTGACAGCATTGACCTGCCTGCGCCGTGAGGTCTTAGTTTCCTGGGAAGAAATGGGAATTTTGAATTGGTTACCACTCGATGGGAGTGAAAAAGGAAAAAAAAATGATTTCACTAAGAATACATGCAAAAATAACAAGGAAAACATCTTACCCTGGCCAAGAGGTTTTATGTTCTGACAGCACATATAATGGTGGAGAGGTGTCCTTCAAGTGATTATAGGCCTTATGTACTTGTCATTAAGGGTCTGGCAATATTCCGGACTGATATTCAACTATCAACAAAAAAAAGTTTCACAGTAATGAACTCTACCTTAATTTATGAAATCAACAACTAGAAACATTCCAACATTGGAAATACACGAATTTACATACCAAATTAAATAGCTGATGTCCGTAGAGCCGTCTCGATCACTTCATGTATGCAGGAGAATGGTGAACTTTCAAATCCTCCTAAGAGTCCAATATTGGGGTAGTACTCCAAAATACACACCAAATAACGATAACCTTACAGCAAGATTAGTAAAAATGGTCGACAAAAATAATCCCTAACAAGGATGACCAAAATAATCAAAATTTTGTGACCAAACGGTTCACCATCACTTTTACTCCCAAACACGAAGTAACGAAGTGGGCCGACTCCACTCAAACCCAGCAGGGGTCGCTTCCAGCAGCAATCCTGCTTCCAGCCTATCAGAACCCTTTCCACGAACACGGAATTACAATTTGGAGTCTTCACCTCTGTTGGATAGGTGTCGACACCATAAAGGATATGTTTATTGCCTTAAAATTCTGGAAAACTGATTCTCAGCAACACCCGAGTTCACCTCCTACAGCCTATCACAGGCAAGTCAGGACTTATATTTCCCAAAATATAGTCCATTATACAATCAAAATTCCAGGACTTTCCTGCTATTAGAGCTGGCAACGCCGCCCTAGAGATGGGCGCAATTCCAGCAGTAACATATCGTTACGGTTGAATCACAGTTGAATGCTCATCTCCTGGGTCCGACCAACCATGGACTATGGAATTCGAGAGCCAGCCGCCGAAACCTATCTTCAGGCAGACCAGCGATTTGGTGGCCGACCATCAGCGATTCGATCAGCTGATCGAAAATCAAAACAAAACAACAGACGGATGCTGAATCAAAAATTCCTTCGAGATGATCTATAAGTTCTATAACATAAGACGATTGAATTGATAATCTCCTAGGAGTCCCAGGTACGTTTTATTATTTACTTTATTGGTGTTCATCATCGACTATCTGTGCTAATAAATGAACGAACAATACTACAAATACACCACAGTTATACTTAAATCTAATTATTTACATTTTTGTTTCAGGAGATAAATTCATCCAAGTAGTGCTGGAACGAGTCGAAGAAAGATCAACAAAGAATAGATTCCCGATTCAACTGCATCGATGTTAGTGAAAAAGTGCCAATATTGTTTAGTTCAATTAGTTTGTGTGTTGTGACAATAACGTTGAATAAATATACAGGGTGAGTAAATATGGGTTTCATTCAATTTTTGAAGCTTCAGAGATAGATTATTATTTAACGTGGAAATTCAACGTTACACCGCTCCATATAATGCACATGAAGTCAGCAATCCTCTGTATAACACCACTACTGCCTTCTTTTTCAAACCCCATTCTTTCCGCATTATTCTGCTAATTTTTCCTACTACCGCACTTACTTTCTTATTCATTTCTTTCAAATGCACCGAAAAATCCATATTCTTTCCTATCTTAATTCCTAAGTATTTTACTTCATCTACCATCTTTATATTCTCTTCGTTCATTTTTACAATCGGGCTTCTATTCAATTTACCTTTCATCATCATCATTACAGTTTTCGTTTTTGAAACTTCAACTCCTACTATACTTCCCCAATTCACAACTCTCATCATCCATTGTTTCGCTTTACGCTCAATCACATTTCTACTACTTCCTTTCACTAATATCAATAGATCATCCGCATACGCAATAGCCGCACATCCCGCATCTTCTAATTCATTTAATAAATCATCCACAACCATATTCCACATAAAAGGTCCACAAATAGATCCCTGTGGACATCCTCTATTAATATTTCTTTCAACCTTTTCTGTTTTACCTTCAACTACCACTATTCGATTATTAAAATACGATTTCCACATTTTCATCTCAATACAATTATTTTCTCTTAATTTCCGCTTCACTATGTCCCATTCTAGATTATCAAACGCACCTTTAAAATCCACAAATATTCCTAATATGTATGTGTCATTACCTTCTCTCACTATTATTTGTACTCATTCCCACGCATCTTCTACTGATTTATTCTTCCTAAACCCAAATTGATAGGCGCTCCTTCTTACTAATCTTCCTTCCATGCGATTTACTAATAACTTTTCTAAACATTTTCCAAGACCACTTAGCAAATTAATTGCTCTATATGATCTTGGATCAGTTTTATCCTTCTCTATACCCTTCAATAATATCACCACATCTCCTATCTTCCATTTATCCGGAAAAATTCCGTTCTTCAAACATTTATCAAATAAATTCTTTATATACTCTGGTATCGCAACCCACATTCTCTTTATCATTTCGTTTTTTATCCCATCAATACCTGGCGCTTTTCCGCTTTTTAAAGTCAATACCGCATTTTTTATTTCTTCTCTCGTAAATTCATCAAACTCATTTCCTTCTACTATTTCCTCTTCTCCTTTTTGCCTTCCCGGAGGAAACCATTCGTCGAGTAGGACATTTATTGTCTCTACCCAGCTTTCTGTGACTCTATTTCCTACCTTCATCACACTTATTCCATTATTATTCCTTTTCCCCATACATATTTTATATGCATTACTCCACGGATCCGCATTACCATCATTCTTAACATATTCCTCCCATCTCTTCCTTTTTGTATTTTTAATCTCATTTTTGTATTCTCTACACTTCCTTCTATACTCTTCCTCTCTTTCATCATTATTTAATCCTGTTCTCCTACCTATTTGCACCTTCCTCCTACACTTCCTTATTTCTCTACGCAAATTTTTCAATTCTTCATTCCACCACCCATCTCCAGTACTTTCTTTAACCTTCTTCAAACACTTCTTATTTGTTTCCTCTAACCATTTATATATTATATTCAATTGCTCGTTTACATCATAATTCATAAATTGACCTATTTCGCAATTCTCAGTTTTTCCTTCTAGCGTCGCAATATATCTCTCCCAGTCTACATTTTTAACTGACCACCTAATTTTATTATCATTATTTTGCCAAAGATCCTCATTAAACTTTACTTCTATTTCAATCGCGTTATGATCGCTTACCCCAAATTCACACCTAATTATCCATATAGTTTCAAATTTCCAACTTTCATTTACCATTGTTACATCTATATCGCTCTCTCCCATTGGTCCACTATAAGTATAATCTTCACTATACTCATTAATAGCTATTAAATCATTAACTACCATCATATCTCCTATCACTTCACCTCTTCTAAATCTTTCATCATCCCTTATATTTTTACTCAACCACATGGGAGAAACCGCATTTACATCCATTCCTAAAATCGTTGCTTTCCCGTTTACTTTCTCTATTATATCCTCAATTTTCCTTTTTATAATTTCAACATCCTCTCCAAATTGCCAATAAGCTGATACAACAACCATTTCATATAACCCTATTTTCATCATAGCACACGCTATATGCTTATTCATTAATTCAATCCTACCTATACTCTCTATTTTATCATTTGCTATTATTATTGCCGCTTTACCTACTATTATTCCATTCCTCGTAAGTAGAGGGCTTTAGCCATTTCCAAATCTCCCCCCAAGGCCAGAGGAGTGTGACCTTGGGGGGAGTTACCTTGGGGGGTGGCCTTGGAAGAGTGACATTCGGAGCGACCTTGGGAGTGACCTTGGGAGTGACCTTGGGAGTGACCTTGGGAATGGCCTTGGGAGGGATACGGAGGTTTCATCTCGGACAATTGTCGTGGTGACCTTGGGGGGAGTAATTTTCGTGCGCATTTGTACCTCTTCTCAAGGATGTTTGGTGGTGTAGTGGGGTATTCCATGTCCGAGTTTCTATAAATACAGAATCCCCATCTTCAAGAGCATAGTTATTCCGAAAATACTGCTGGCTGAACAATCTTGTCAGATCAGTGGAAGTGCGATAAAGTGTGATATCAGATTTACGTAACTTCAATTATTTATATATTTTTTATTCCTTGTTTCACTCGACAAGTAAAAATAGAAATGGCTCCTCCTAAAATTGATCTAGTCGCAATCAATAGTCGAATTAATGAGGAAAATGAAATTATTAAACAAATTCTAATATCGTCGCTACCACTGAATAAGAGTTTTATAATCAGGAAAATATCGTTATGTGGGACTCGATTCGGTAGAAGTGGCACCGTTATATTGTACGATGAAGAAACTGAGGTGAGCTTAAAATGTTGGTTACCAAAAAGAGTTGTAGACCTTTTGAAAGAAAGCGATGTTGATGAGATCAATTTTTCTAACGGCGTTTATACTTTAACGTACTTGGGTCAGAGTGAACCTTCATTTGCAGGTGCAAAGACGCGGGCTCTCATCAAGTTTGATGTCAAGGGGGATGTAATTGACAAATAGTTTCATATTTCCTCAATTAGTTTTTCGATATAGTGTAGTGAAAAAGGTTTGAAAATTATATAATAATTCTTACATTAACATCATCACTTTATCGCGAATCATCATCGATTTCGATACTTTTTTGGTGAGTGTTATATTGGCTACATACATTGGAATCAAGCATTACATTTTTCCACCGTGATCCATTACCTGAATGTTTTGTTTATTTACAGAATTGATCACTCTTGTGCAGCACACGTTCCCGAAATGTGTATGAATTATTCTAGTCAGTTTTGGCCTACGGCGGAAGATATCAGATCAGCTGTGAGGAGGTTGAAATGTCGATTCATGGATTTGGAGCGTGATACACTACATGCAGGGAATTATGATATGAGTGTATGCTTCGATCAAGTACAAGTTCAGCGCCTCCTCAAACAAGCTGAAAAATATAAAATTGGATTTCTACTATGTGCCCGCTATGAATACAGCAACATTACTTTGGAGCAATTCCTTGAAGCAATGGTTGAAGAAGACTTGGAACAATTTCTTTATGAAATCTTCGATTTGCTACCAAACAGCCTGATTCGGAAATACCACTTGGGGGTGATTCCAGACACTGAAGATGAAGGAGGACAAAGGGGGTGAATTGGGCATCTATGTATATAGCATTTTCGCGTAATGTGTAATGCCGATAATATTTTGATGCAAAAATAAAACAATAGTTTTTAGTACATTTGTATTTTATTGATTACAATGAATAACAATATCGAGTAGATTGAGTAATGATAAATTTCATGAAGAGAGATCTAATAACTAATGTGATGACGGTGGCGGTGTCAGTGAGGAGTGGATCCGCATCTATCGTATTCAAGGAGCACCCATCTGTATGGAACCATCTAATGCGCTATATGTCAGATATGCGTCATGAAGAATAAGTGCGTAAACCTTTGTGTTTGGTGGAAACTTCGTTTCGCGGGTTTCAAACTCCAATTTGATGTCGACAGTAGAAGTTTTCATCGCATCGGGTTGGTGGTAGCAGTCGATGATGAATAACGGATTTTTTCGGAACTCCTCAATACTCATCATTGGTTCACAAATATCTTTGCCATAGTAACTACGTTGGAAATTTTCGTATGCATAGTAAGCCACAGCATCTAACTTTCTGTCAAAATCCAAATTCCAGCGCTCATATGGGTAAACTTCTGAATTCAAGTAAAGGCGAATATTATTCACTCCTGCGTGAATGAATTTCGTAGCGTCCTTGGATCTATCATCTGTATTATCGGAGCTTTGAAAACCGATAATGATGTATCGCGGGCGCTCGAGGCTACTAGTTGTTTTGATAGCCCAAATATCTGAAGCTGTTTCACGAATGGCCGGTAACTCATACAAATCCCACATCCTGTATGCTAACTTGATTTTTGCTGTAGAACTTTTATTCAATCGATTCAACAACTTCAATTTCTGCCTATCGGACGGCATCACATGCCTTATCTTCCATTCGATTTTGTTGATCGTCACATTCGCATCAACTTCCCCCATATAGGAGTTTTTGAATGAGCGTGCTATGATGAGTATAAGCTCCTGCTTTATATTCAGAATTCCTTTATTATAGTCCTCTGCAAACCCCATTAAAAATTTAAGCGGTAGTTTTCCGCTGAATGTATGACTGGGTGTATCTAGAATCACCTGTTTATTTTCATCGAGACCCCATCCAACCGTGTCTAAAAATTTGGTGCTTGTCTCACCATAAGATATCATACTTTTCATTGTAGTGGTAATGCCCGGTTTTCGAATCAAACACACCTGTTCGCCACCCATTTCATAACGGATTTCATCGAACAGAAATGCGAGCGCATTATTGGACAGATGGCAGGTTTTTGCTAAATCGTTCGGGATGAATTTTCCCTCGATATAAATGTAGCTTTCAGCAATATCCAGTATCAAATCTTGAAAATTGACAGCAATCCTAATTTCATCGGAATTCTTGAATGATGGAGAACCATATGGTTTGTATGTATGCTCATGTAGGCTAATTAGTGAATGATCAAAAATTGGTTCATCAAACACTTCCAATTGTAAACTAGTAGAACTTGTGGCAACCATCGTTCACTAATTTCTGATCCTTCCCCAATAGACTTCAAAAAATTTAGGTCGCTCGCAGAAAGCTTATGATGTCTTCCTCGACCGGTGATTTGCCCTTGACTGAATCCTTTCCCACGTTTACACTTCTTCTTATTGGTAATGTGCAGAATAGTGGGGTGAGTAGCGAGCGATACACGTTTTGATTGGTTTCCAAAGCAGAAGCCCATCTTCCAAATCGACGTAGAAAATTTAATTTAGCTGTTTCAATTCCAACTTCACTATAATCTTCTCTCCTTGGAAGTCGACTAAATGATCGTTATCATCCAAAATTCTCAGTGTGATCTTGTCGATAGACTGACGCCCTGTCGGACTGATTGGTAGATATATTATATTTTTCGGCTCCTTTGAAACTTTGTATCCTGGCTCCACGTCGACGTCGAACTCGTAAAGCGTGTGAACCTCCTCACCATTGAGGTATGCTCCAGTGGTGATATTACAATCAACCCGTATCAATCGTACCTTTATGATGTTCACAGGTAAAGTGGATTCATGCAAAATATTGGGCCGGTAAAATCCCGATTCAAAACCCAACACTTTGGCTATAGAAGTAGCAATATCTAGACTTATCATGAATTCGGACTTGAGTTCACATTTGAGCGTATTATTGTTGGCACGAAGAGAGAACACATCATCAATATTTCGCCCATTTAGCGGAACCCCTCTTTCTATAGCCTTTTGTATTGCTCTATTGATTTCTTCTATTTCATAGGCGCCTGGTGGTATTTCAACAAGAAAGCTTTCCTCTTCATACCAAACAACTAATTTGTTATTTGTCTCATCTATATTGAGTATAGAGTTGTATGAATAGAACCCGTGTAACCCCAAACCGTAAGTATTCCGCACATCGAGCTCAATTGGTGGAAAAAAGTCTGCACTCAGGATACTACGATCTCCAGAAATGGTAAATGTTTGCGACATAACTTCTCATGAATGGAGAAAACAAACAAAACAGCGAAAACCAAAAACAAACGTCAATATATACAGTAGCAGCGTTAAGAGCATCAACCTTATTGCTGCCTGCAACAATGAAGAATGCCAGGGTTTTCGGTAGGCGAAGAATTAATATCAAATTTATTATTAGTTGCCACATTTACATCTTTCACTTGACAAAAACAACATGATATTTTTCTTGGCGCTGGTCCATCATTCACATCGATGTTGGCATGTTGGCCACCCTCCTCCTGCTCTCCACCATAATGTTCTTCACAAAATCGGTATTTGGCTATATCCGGATCGTTTTGTAATTGTTCCGGTAACTTATCCCACACTATAGCTATCTCATGTGATGCCAACCCGATGAGTACTTCTTTCGGCATATCAGCCAACTGTTTCTCACTCATTTCCAGTAAGGAGCGTAATCTTGAAAAAGCCAATAATGCATGTCCCATCCGCTTGATACTCTGCCTATCCATGTTTTGCAACTTTTATTTCACTGATGCCACTGTTAGCTGAGAGAAATTTCAAGCACAGGTGACCACACCAGACTGTGTTGAAATCCTGCTGGCGCTCATAGTTATACTTAATTTTGATGGCTTTAACCGACTTCGATCCTTTCCTTAAATATTCTAACAACTCCTCAGGTGGCGGCAAATCCCTATAACTATCGTAATATTCAACTATCCCATTTCTCTTCTTATATGCAACCCAGTGTGTACCATCACCGCGAATACTATCGAGATTCAGTATAGCTGATTCTATGCAATGTGGGCCAGAGTTGGGTAGATTATCTCTCATGAAAATACCTCGAAAGTGCGGCACCGCCATTTTATCTATATAATGCAATAGATCAATGTCTGTAAGAGCTCTCTGAGGTAACTTGGCTAGTTTTTTGAATGCTGGGGCTTGAGATAAATACCCATCCCTTTCCGATATGGTTTCAAATAGACTCCTCTGCCGACTTTTCCGAGAGCGATCGCCTCCATATGCTTATTGTGACGGTTTGCCTCAGCCAGCTGCTCCTTACTCTCTTTAGCTGAATGAATAGCTCGAGCTATACCGGCACTACCCGCAGCCAGACTCCCCAATGCTGATAAACCGGCAAAAATGGGTATGAGCGGAAGAATTCCGCCAACTTTTGGGATAGGTATGATTCGGGGTGTTTTGATATTTTTTTTCCCGCCAGCCATCTTTACAAATTTTCGAGCAGCGTCGATCGCCATTAGTGATGTTTTAGTCAAGTTTTTGGTGAGTTTTCTCTTATTCCCCATTTGACGTAGTGCTCGGCGAACTTTTTGAACTACACCCGATCCGAAAGCAATTTTTCTACACTTTTTCTTCCCTTTATTCTTCCTCTTCCTTCTCGATACTCGTCGGTTCTTCACCCCATTATTACACCCCATACCAAAGCGCCTCTTTCCCTTCATTATATTGGTAACTAACCAGGATGCACTCTTCTCTCCTAGATTAGCGTCTTTTGATTTTACTCTCTCCCACACGGCTTCCTCTAATTTTGTATCTGCTGAATGCCTAGCAGATAAATCGGTTGTATTCTTAAGATACGCAATATCGTGTTCCTTGCAAGCTCTATCCAATTGATTTATTCCAGGATCACCGCGAGCTAACCTTTTTTGTAACTTCGTTCCAGGTCCACAATATTGATAACCACCAGGAATATGCAATTCAAACGGTAATTTATTGATCAGTGTGTTAACAATCCCTCTACCCCTTTTCTTTCCTTTCTTCGTTTTCGATGTGCTACGTTTCACTTTCATAATATAAATGAGCTTCACAACGCTAGCGCTTCTTTATATATCTTTCAACCACCGCACAATGCGGATTGTTCAGCAAAAGGAAACGTTCAGTGTAGCCAATTTTGATGAAAAAATAGGGTTAGGTATTGATACCAATCGTCGACATGGGGCCCTTTTCCCAAATACTATTCGCGGTCTGATAATTGGCCCATCGAATTGCGGGAAAACCAATGTTATGATTTCACTTCTGACCAATGAAAATGGTTTACGTTTTGCCAATATTTATATCTATTCGAAATCACTATACCAACCAAAGTATGAGTACTTGCGAAAAGTGATGGAACCGATTAAAGGGTTAGGATTTTACACGTATAATAATAATGTGGACATAGTTGAACCGGCAGATGCGAAACCTGACAGCATTTTCATATTCGATGATGTTATATGTGAAAAACAGGATGTTATCAGATCTTATTTCTCAATGGGGCGTCACAAAAATGTGGATTGTTTCTTCCTGGCACAGAGTTATTCCAAAGTTGGGAAGCAATTATTGCGTGACAATTCGAACTTCATAGTGATGTTCAAACAAGATGACATGAATTTACATCATATTTTTTCCGATCACGTATCGCCAGATGTGACTTTCAAACAATTCCAAGATATGTGCGCGCAGAGTTGGACGGATAGATACGGGTTTCTCGTTATCGATAAGGACAGTGAAATACATGAGGGGCGTTATAGGAAAGGATTCGATAGCTTTATATATCTCTAGTATGTTGGTGCAGCATGATTCATTCAATCTTCAGATACCACAATGGCCGCATCTAGTGAACAGAAAAGCACGATGACTTCTGAGATAAATCTCAAACAGCAACTTGTTGAAGCGACTGCTGCAGTGAGAAAAAAGTTCAAGAGTCTCAAGAACGAACGTATTGATAACCAAACGGCAATGGAGAGAGTGTATGAACCATTGACGAAGCCATTGAATGCTATTTCAGCAGCCGCAGCGAGAAATCAATCTCAAATCACTACTACCACATCCACAACAGGGAAAAACAAGAAACCTTCAACATCAATAATAGCACATCCTACATATCATTCCACACCGGTATCAGAAAATGGGGGAATCGGCACCACTACTACTACCACCAAGATTCCTAGAAAACTCATGACGCGGGAGAGTTTCAGTGGAAATGATTCTTTGACATCGCATAGCCAGCCCAAATTTATAACGGGACTGGAAACACCGCCATCATCATCTTCTTCTCATATTTCCAAGAGTGATGCTGCTACAGCAGTAGACGAAACAATCACAAGCGAGCTACAGGTGCAATTGAAAAAACATATAGATAATTTGGTATCCCATGATCCTAATTATGACACCACATATGGTGTTTATATTGATGAACAAACGGGAAAATTGAAGATGGGCAACATGGACATTCATTTTCCTGCAGGTCAAATTGAATTATGGCGCGGAAATAAGCGAACCAAGGTTTTTCCGGCCACCATTGAGCTATATAATTTGATTTTTATGAAACATGTGCCAAGATTCATTAACGATCAAGATAAACGTTTATACGCAGCCCTATTGGAGAATACAAGGGCACCATATAGGAACTATGATATTAGAGAAGGATTAAATGATAGTACACAATCCAAGAAGAAATATCAGCAGGTGATCAAACCACTGATAGGCACACCATATAAAATGAGGAATCAACAATTGCACCATGGTGAAAAAGGGGGAGGAAGTATATTGCAACCAACATTACCCTCTGATAAACTCGCAGGCAAACAGCGAAAAGAGTATGTTTATTGGTATGATATCAAAGAATTGGTGGACCGCCTGCGATTATTGTGGAGTTCTAAAATGGCTGGTCACACCGGTCACGATAATGAGATAATATCGATAATAGAAGAATTGCGTGAAGAAGGTATCGTGTATTAATTGGCGAGTGATTAACCTACATCCCACTCAATTCCGAATGTGCCTATATATAATAACGATACAATACTTGGCCCCTCATTAGTGCATAAAAGGAACTTGGAGCGATCACACCAATTCAGAAAATTCGAGCAGTGGAAAAATAAATATCGCCATGGAGATCAGCGCTACCAAAAGACTAATTGTTGATGAATTACATATACCCGCAAGGCGAAACTTCAGAAGAAGGAGAACAGTTATAAAAGGATT